TTTTTCCCCATTCCTCTGGTTCCCTTCTTCCCTGCACCCTTCCCTATTTACAAAGACTTTGCTTCCATTTGTTTCCTTTTCTATTATTTTTTTCTCTCACCTTTTTACATTTCCCCTACCCCTGCTATTTGCCCAACACCTTTAGAACTTTTCTTCCTATTACAAAATATCAATTATACATTTTGACCCTTATTTACACTTTTAGCTTATCATACTAGAGAAACTATACAGTATTTATACTTGCATGTCCTATTAATTTCACTTAAAGAGTATATCCTTAATGTGAATCCATTTAGCTACAAATGTCTCTAGTTTCTCAGTCTTTATAGCTGAGTATTACACCATTTTATAAAAACAAAAACAAAAACATATCTTCTTTATCTAGTCTCCAGTTGATGCACAATTGGGCTGTTTCCAAGTTTTAGCTATTACAAACTATGCTGCTATGAACATGGGTGAGCATACATCACTGTGGTATAATTTTTTTCATTTTGGGGGGAAGATACCCAGCAGGGGAATAGTTGGGTGAAATGGGACTTCCAATCCTACTTGTGTAAGGTATTTCCATATTGATTTCCACAGTGGTTGCACCAGTGTGCACTCTCACCAACAATGGAGAAGGGTTCTTTTTTCCCCACACCCTGGCCAGCATTTGTTATTGGTTGATTTCTTGATAGCAGCCATTCTTTCTAGGTGAGGTGGAATCTCAGTGTTGTTTTCATCTGCAACTTTCGAATGACCAGTGATGCTGAACATTTTTTCATATGTTTATTTGCTCCTTTTCCTTTTTTATTTTTTCTGAGAAATGTCTGTTCATTTCAGATGCCATTTCAGATGTTCATTTCATTTCTTTCAATGAGTCTGTTATTTGTGTACAAGAAGGCTATTGATTTTTGAATGTTTACGTTTTATCCAGCTACTCTAGTGAATCTGTCAATTAAGTCTAGAAGTCTTTTGGTGGAGTTTTTTGGGTCTTTTATGTAGAGTGTCATATCATCAGCAAATAATGACAGTTTAACTTCTTCCTTTCCTATCTTTATTCCTTTTTTCTCATTCTGTTGTCTAATTGCTGTGACTAATGTTTCCAAACCTATATTTAACAGGAGTGGTGATGGTGGACATCCTTGTCTTGTTCCTGATTTTAGCATGAAGGTTTTCAGTTTTTTACCATTTATTATGATATTGGCTATTGGTTGTTCATAGATAGCCTTTATCAAATTGAGATAAAAAACATCTATTCCAACTGTCTAATTTCTTCTTTAATTTCTCTGTGACCCATTAGTTGTTTAGGAGAGTGTTATTCAATTTCCATGTGTTTGTGAAGTTCTTGCAGTTTCTTTTGCTATTGATCTCCAATTTAATTGCACTATGGTCTGATAATATACTTCAACTTCTTTGCATTTATGTAAACATGTTCTTTGAGCTAGTATGAGGCCTATTTTGGAGAATGATCTGTGTGCAGCCAAAAAGAATGTATATTCTGATTTTGTGGGGTGGAACATTGTTTAGACATCTGTTAATTCCATTTGTTCAAAAAATTGGTTCAGTTCTAGTATTTCATTGTTGATTTTTTGTTTGATGACCTGTCTATTTGTGACAATGGGGTATTTAGGTCCCCCGCTACAATTGTATTAGTGCTTATTTGGTTTTTCATGACTCCTAATATTTGTTTTGTATAGTTGGGAGCATTAGTACTTGGTGCATATATATATTTATGATTGTCATTTCTCCCTGTTGGATTATTCCCTTTATAAGGATGTAGTGACCTTCTTTGTCTCTTAATTAATTTTGGTTTGAAATTCACTTTGTCTACAAATTAGATAGCTACCTCTACTTTTTTCTGTCTTCCCATCACATAAAGAATTATTTTCCATTCTTTGACTCTCAGTCTATGAATTTCTTAATGGATTGAGTGGGTTTCCTGTATACAGCATATTTTGGATTTTTCTTCTTAATCCATTCTGCCCTTCAATTTCTTTTGATTGGTGAATTGAGGCCCTTAACATTGATGGTTATAACTAATATGTATTGACTTATCATCATTGTGTTATTATCCTGTTGCTGGCTCTTTTTAATTTTTCCCACTCCCCCTTTAATTTCTTGCCTTGCCTGCTGGATTTGCTCTTTTGGGCTTCATGGAGTTATGATCTTCTTTGTCTCTTTTTCTAGGATATTTTTTAGAATTGTTTGGAGTGCTGGTTTGGTATTCATGAAATTTCTCAGGTGTTTTTTGTCATGGAAGTATTTTATTTCCCCATCAAGTTTGAAAGATAGTTTTGCAGGATACATCAGTCTAGGTTGGAGGTTGTTTTCTTTTAGGGATTGAAATACTTCACTCCAGGCTCTCCTTGACTTGAGGGTTTGTGTTGAAAAATCTGCTGTGATTCTGATGGGCTTTTCTTTGCATGTGATTTGTTTCCTTTCTCTAATTACTTATAGTATTTTGTACTTCTTTTGGGTTTCTGGGATCTTGATTATACTCCTTGACTAGGGTTTGTGTTGAAAAATCTGCTGTGATTCTGATGGGCTTTTCTTTGCATGTGATTTGTTTCCTTTCTCTAATTACTTATAGTATTTTGTACTTCTTTTGGGTTTCTGGGATCTTGATTATTATATATCTGGGTGTAGATTTTTTTGATCATTGCTAGTTGGAGTCCTATATGCCTCACTTATCTGTATGTCAAATGTATTGCCTCTGTTTGGGAAGCTTTCTGTCATTTATTCTGTGAATATTTTTTATGTCATTTGTAATTTCTCCTGCTTTTTCATGGACTCCTATCAGTCTTATATTAATCTTCTTTGTATCATCTAGGAGCTGCAGGACTGATTTCTCATATTCCCTTACTATTTTTAAGTGATCCTTATTTTCATGGTCACTGATCTCTATCCTGTCTTCTATATTTGATATCCTATCTTCAGAGTGGCTCAATCTGTTATGTATACTTTCAACAGAGTTTTCAATTTCCTGGATACCTGTTTGAATCTGTTTCATGGATTCAATTTATTTCCTATGCTGGGCCTTCATGGTTTCCATTTCTTTCCAATTCTGGGTATTCACAGCTTCTAATATAGCCCTAAATTCATGTTTTTGTTTTTTTTTCTGTTCTAGAGACTCGAATCATGTCATTCATTCTGCTATCTCTGTAGTTATCTGGGAAATTATTTGTTTTGAATTTTTTTAGAGCCTCATTTATCTGTTTCGTTACTTTCTGTTCTATAGTTCAGGGTGTTCAGGTTGTTGCTTATCAGACTTTTCCACCTCATTTTCCCAAGAATTTGCCCTTGGTAAGCTGGAAGTCTGTGTTTGTGCTTGAGCTTTGTTTGAATGTCTTCCCATTTTTATTTTTGTTGGTACTGTCCTTCATTTGATATAGCCTGTCTTTTGCATCTCTAATGACTCTGAGGCAATCTCTTTTCATTATACCAGGAAGAACAACTGATTAGATCAATCATGACATCTTAGCCCAAGTGATACAATCAGCAATACAAAAGCATCAAGTACAGCTTAGAAAATGAGAATTTGTGGTAGTTATGAATCTATCACCTTTAATTGTATGAATTAAATCAAAATTGAGTCTAGAGCTAAGAACAATGGCCTTTATGACTCCCTGTGCTTCGTGCTGTGAATCCAGGTACCAGCACAGGCAGGATACCAAAGTGGGGGGGCGGCTGCAGGAACCTGTGCAGCTCCGCCTCTTAGGCTCTGCCTCTTACCCTTCTACTGCTGAGTTCGGGTGGGCTGGGGCAAAAGCTACAGGCTAGCTCCATTCAGTTCCTCTTCCCACTGGTCTACTGCCAAGGCTCCTCAATATACTTTCACATCATTATCTCATTTGATTTTAATTTTTGACAATTTTGTACAAATTTAAGACTTTTCAAAACCTTTTTTTTTTTAATATTAGGAAATGGAAACATAAATAATTCTGGGAGACATGCCCAAATTCATATTTTTAAACTTGGTTAACTGTAGCCATATTTTTTGACATAGAAGTATTTCGTGTTTTGCAATTCTTTCTTTCCAAACTATCATTTAAGTACTTCCATACTTAATCACTTAAGCAGATGCTGGCTATCGGCTAACAGAACCAGAATTTTGTTCAAGAT